CTCCCATGGCTGACTCATTGCTCACCTCAGGTAATCAATCAGAGGTTCAGGCAGTGATTCAGCAGTTCCCATACATGTAGCAAATGGTTTAGTTGGTCAGCAGGTGTTTAAAATTTATATCATGTATCTCAAAACAATTGTTTAACATATACAAAGTATTTTGTGCAAGTGTATTTATGTCTTCCTAGTTCCAAGTTGGAGACTAGGCCTTTTGCCATGCAAGATGCTAATTATTTTCCTTGAGGACTGTGTATTACCTTGTAAGTTAAGCCAGGTGGAGGAGAGGGAATTAATTCCAGATCCTGTTAGTGAAATTTTATTTCTCTCCATGTGTTATTGATTCATTTTCAATCATCCATAGAGCATTATAAATACCAACATAGGCAGCTGTAATTTAATGATAAAACCTGAGGACACACTTCCCTACAATGAAATATGTGTTTCAGTTTTATTTCAGTAGAGATTTAAGAAGCTTTATCTCAATTCTAGGCTTCTTATGGAAATGCTTTGTGGTGCAAGAAACTTGAGCTTTAATCATTAGGATGGCTTTTTATTGAGAATACTGGTTCTTCTTATGTAGTGTTACATAAACTTTAGTCTACGAGTGGTGGTCTAATAGTCCCAGAGCCCTCAAAACAGCCCTAAAAAGTGTTTCCAATAGAAGTCGTTCTGTTGATTGTAACATTCTCAACCTTTGCTCCATCACCTTATTGGAAACTTGATAAGCTTAATACATTGGAGCACAAAGTCAGTATGAATCCAGAGTAGCACAAAGTGAAAGAAGTGAAAATGGCTTAAAATACATCTCTATATGAGTATGTATATTATGTATGTTTTGGTTCCATGCAGATGCCACAAAATTGGCCACTGAAGTGTCTCAAGGATATAAGGCATCTTAAAAAGGTGTGGTTCAAAGGCAAGAAGCTTACTGCTGGTGTGAGATGGGCAATATACAAGGACCAGGATGCAGTGTAGCCATTACAGTATTTCTGTGTAACATTACTCATTTTTCTGGCTCTGACACCCAAGACATAGTTGCTTTTATACTCAGCAGCATCAGCTGTGTCCTGACCTCAGGAGCCATTGCTGTTCTCTGACATTATGTACTGTTCCTCAGAATGTTGTCAGGCTTTGGGCACTCTGTGCTTCTTGAATTCATGGGAGCACACAAGTGGCATAGGGCAGTTGCACCAGTGGCCTTCAGATGTTCAGTTTGAGCCTCCAGGGAAGTCAGTGAGGCACTCAGAATTGCTTCAGACATGTGAAGTTCTTGTTCTGAAAGTGCAGTTACACTTGGTAGTAGAACTAAACAATATAACTGCAATCTGAGTTTCCCACTGAAGCTTCCCACTTAATTTTTTATATCTAAACTAAAAGTCAAGTGTTTGGTGTTAGGTAAGCTATTATCCTAAAACATTAGGAATGTGCATTCCTTGCTTTTTTATAAATCAGATTTTTTATTATAAAGTACTTGAAAATAATAGCTCTTTGGCAATAGAAAATGGCTCAAGGCGTTTCCTGTTTTGCTTTGAGCACTTTTTCCTCCTGTTAAAGGCTTATACTTTATAAATATCTCAGGATGGACAATGCTCATCCTATAGGAAAAACAAAACAGGGATTTTTAATAGATGGAAAACATCTGTGCTGCATAGTCATACTTCTGAAGAGACTGTGCCATGCAGTCAGACTACAGTGCTCTTTGCAGTGCTGAAGAGTCACATTGTCTTGCTGAAAGCCAACCAACAGATTGAAGGAGATAAAAAGTTGCAAAGTTTCAATTGCTTGTCAAAACAAAGATGGTACAGCTGCTTGATTAAACACAATCTTACACCATTATTTTTATCCAGATTGGCAAGCCAATCTGTATGAACAAACAGATGCTGGAGCAGCAGGCAAAAACGCTGATGAGACAAAAGGGCAGGACTGATTCTCTTTTATTAGGCCCCCATTGATTGGCTATATTGCTTTGTCAAGTGGCATCGTTGACAGTTCTTTAAAGGGGAGTCAAATATTCGTAGAACTGGTTGGTGTACAGCATACTATTCTTACCTTTGAGCATACCTGGAACTGCTTGTTAGAGAATTTCCAACTGGAGTTGTGTTCTTCATTTGATGCTGTCCCACCTCAAGCTGGCAAAAAAAAAAAAAATCTTCCAGCCAAGGATGCATAGAGTTTTGAAACAAATCAGACTTCCTTACTCAGAGTTTGGTCACAGCTAACTGAAAGGTTTTCACTGAAATGATGTTTTTATCAAGCACTGGCTGATCTGACCCTCAGTAGTTAATATAAACCCCATTTTGCAAAAACAGATGTAAATAACTAGATTCCATCATCAGTAATTTGTTTCTGTGCTTCTGATTTTCCTTTTTGCTGTTTCAAAAGATTACAGAATCTACCTGCAGTTCTATTGGGATGCTTTTGTATGGTTTTGCCCAGGTACTCCCATGCCACCATATATATGTGCCAATGAGAATACAAAAAACTTGTTCCTCTACGCAAATTTGATAGATATACACATTTGAAAAGCACCCTAAGATCTTTGTGTGGATGTTGTTTTATAAAATGATGCTACACAGTTGACCAAAATAGTCAGTACAAAGCAGCATTTTGGCATTGTAAAAAGAACAAAAAAATGCACCAATTTACAGGTGAGAAGGAATCCTGTTATTTTAAGGGTAATATTAGTATAAAGTTAGTGAATTAATAAATTTCAAACTGGATGACTTATGCTCTCAGAAGATCAATTATCCAAGACAAGTGATTCAGAAATAGATGCTGCAGCATTGTTACTGTTTTAATCAGATGGCTATTGCTGTTACAAGTAACCCTACAAATTATGCATGAGGATATTCTGCACAGGCCAAAATTACTGACCTGATGTTTTGTTTTTTGTTTTTGGTGGATAGTATAGCTAGCAACTGGGTGTGTAAAGCAGCTCTTAACATGGCCACTACAAATCTCAGCAGTGAACTTCAACAAGAAAAAATGAATATGGTATGTATTTCTTTGCATATGGGAACTATGAATGGTGGTGTATGAAGCCTTATCACAGGAACATTCATATAAATCAACTTTTCTCACCCCAGAATTCGTAGTAAATTGATGATTTGGGAAAACTTTGATATGTGAAATACTCATCCCACCTTTGCTTGGGGTAGATAGAGTACCTTGGTAAAATTCCCTTTATAGAGACATCTAGTGTTGTATCAGTAAGAATCTAAATGCCTTAAGGGAGTTGTGCTTTATACATTTGGTTTTGGTTTAGCTTATTTTGAAAGGTTTTGAGAGAGAATGGAATCATAACTTTCATATAGATAAGATTGTGTTTGAGCAAATAGCTTTAAATTGTTTTATCCTGATTTTATTGTTTGGTAATTTGGAATAATAATGCTTTCCACCTGTAGACCTCTCTGTAAGGCTATGCTTATTGGGTATTACTATCTGCATATGTTCTCGGTAGGCCATAACCATTAAAATATTTGCTAGGTTCTACTCACGGAAGCTTTAAACTATATATTAATTTCAATAAATTTGCTTATTATCAGTTAGCTTAGCCTCCAGATGTAGAATCTGTAGTGGCACTCTGGTAATATCATGATTCTGAACATGAGGTAGCGAAGTAGTGAGGTTGCTAATAACTTTGTGTTCTGTCTGTCGTAAAACGGGTATGGATGTTCTTGGCACTTCTATTCCTTTTCAGAAATATGCCCTCTGCTATTCAGCCCAAATCCACTTTGTTCAAGTCTCCACGTTACCAGTTGTGAATGTTACTGTTGTGAATGTTTCCAGAGTATGTTATTTAGACATCTCTGCCTCACAGAAGGAGAAGGTGAGAAGGAACTACTGAAGCACAAATGAAAGACAAGGAGTACACAGCTTTGCTAAGTTCCTCATCAAATGTGTCATGAAAAGCAGTTATGAGAGGCTGCTAATCATAAATGTGTCTCTTTTTCTTTTCTCCCCCCCCCAACCATTTTCTTTTGTTCTTGCTTTTTCCCTTTGGCTACAGCTTGTAAAGTGTTATCACGATACTGGTCTGAGCAGGCAAAACCACTACTGATGCCTACCTATGATTGGAAGACAACACGGGCCATAGACTGTGGAATGCTGACCTCACATTAGGTGAGTCTGTTGCTCACTTTCCCACCCCTGCCCAAATCCTGTATTCCTGTCCTTTCTTTAAATTCATGTCAGAGTTCTGTGTTATTAGTTGCATGGAATCCAGTCTCACTTGACTGTACATACACTTTTCCCTAAAGAAGTTGGATGTTATCATCTGTTAGATATTCATTATGCAAAGAAAACGTAGAACACAATTGCATTGTAACAGTTTTGAATTATTTTTAGTTGAAGTAATGAAAAAGAAGGTCTAGCAAGTTTGATGTTAACATTTCTTAGCTACAATTCCTAAACTGTTGAACAAACAATTATATTAGAAGCTATTATACGTGTATGTAATCAATAAATATTCAGATGTTATAATTAAGAAATATACAAGGAAGTTATGCTGAACAGGTTATCATGCTAAAGAAGAACAGATGGAAAGCTTATCCAGCTTGCTGAGAAGATTCCAACCTCTTGGAGAAAAACTTTCTCCCCTTGTAGTCAGCTTTTAAATGGGGTCTAGGAGAGCGGAGCCAGGCTCCCACCCTTCCAGTAGCACAGGAGAATTTTCTTCACCTGTGCTCCCAGGGCTAACTCATTGCTCGCCTCAGGTGGTCAATCAGAGGTTCAAGCCGTGATTCAGCAGTTCTCATACAATATGAATATGCATTTTTATTCGTAAGTGAATTGTACTGAGACAAGTGAATGTCTTAAGAGCAATGCGTGGAGGAGTAGATTCCATTCTTTTACTTCTGTTCAGTTGTAAATGTACTGGGCATGGATCAAATAACTATTGACTTAGAAAATAACACATGTCAAACAAGGACTTGAAACAGTGCTTTGAGGTCAGTAACCTGTGTGCTTAGAACTTTGATCACAGTGGTAGCAACCAAATGACATAGTTTTGGTGGAGATACGGGCAAATATAAACAGGTAGCTTTACACTCAGTGTTACAAGCAGAACAGCAAAATGTTAGCGGGGTGAAAATGTGTATTTCTAATAAGCTTAAGGAACTTCAACAAATAATGCTCATACTGATGAATTAATTTGCTGAAACTGCAAGGAATGGGCTTTTTGTGTTGTTTATTTATATTTAAATAATGAACAACGCCAGACAACAAAGCCTCAATGGATTCTGCTTTCAACAAGCAGCATGAAAGAGGAGTCTTCCCAAGGCCTTGCTGTATCAAGTGGAAGACAGCATGTTTTGTCTGATGAAATGTAAGTTTAACTGCTTATCAGTCAATCCAAAGCATTGCTAGATTAATAGTCAAACAGCTATGAATACTATTTCTGCTAGGTTAATAGCCAGCTTGCTGAGAATAGATTTTCTGGGGAACTGAAGCAGCTTGTTGGTTCTGTGATTGGCTGAAATTAAGGGGAATTCTTTTTAAGAAAATTAAGATATTTACTTCTGATGTTTTTCTGACATAGATCTTCCAGATTTTCATTTTGCTGTCAAAGCAAATGGGTTAAAAGTCTAAAATGACTGTGGAAGGCTACTATTAAATTTCACAGTAGAGAGGGCATGGGTATTTTCATTTTGACTTTTTGTCCAGCTGATCCAAGTAATTGTTTTAGTTTAGAAGTGAGAGCTGTCTTTTCTCTTACTTTTTGTTTGTGATTGCTGCTGTTGTCTCTTTAAATGGGAGGGGAAGAGAGCAATTATTTGGTTTGTGAAATATCTGAAGATCTGCAGATACAAAGCACTCCTTAATTGCAAAGGACTTAAATTAGAGCTGTATTAAGTCATCTTTCCTTTATGTCAGTCCATGCAGTGGTCTGAATAAATCTGTTTGTAATCAAATTTAAACTTGATTGACGAATAGGGGTAGAAGATTTGGTGTTTATTTTTTTTAACCACGGGCTGTGTAATTCACTGAAACTAGAACTCTAGGCTAATTTCTTCCTGTAGGAAAGAGGTACCATTTAAGTTTTGTTGTTGTTGTTAGTAAGTATTAATGAAGTATTAATTAATTAAGTAGTCTTTGCTAATCCTGTGAAAAACAGTCATGATATGTCAGTTCAGTGCTGTTAGCTCTTGTATCAAAATGATATTTAATCCCCTCTAAACGTGAATTTGCTAGTTTATGTATTTTGGGAGGATTAAGGTCTGAAAACTGGCATAATAAGGCTAGAAATCAGGCAGTTTTTCTTCCATTAGAATTTCAGGTCAGAAATATCTATTTCACCTTGCATTAGACTTGTTTTACACTTGTGAATGGAGACCAGATTGTGTAATATGTGGGGGTTCTCGTCCTAGTAACTGTTGACCACTGATGCCTCATAATCACTGCAGCAGTATTTTCTCCATATCTTTGCTTTATGGGGTAGCTGTGCATTCATTCTGGCTTGTGTACTATGCTTTTCCCCTCTTCCTTCCTTGTAAGAGGTAATTGAATGAAAACTCACATCTCTTCTGATATTTTAAATAAGTTTTGTAAACGGAGACAAAACAAATCAATCGGTTCCTTCTCCTTTTAGAGCAATCAGAGAAAAACCATTGGAGATTGATATCTCAGGCCCATCAGTTCTGCTTTCAGTCAGTATACAGAGGTTTTGGAAACAAGCGAACAAAAAGATAAAATAAGTCCTTTTCTCCTGCTGTATGAGAGAGAAAAAATGCTTTTGTTTTCTCTTCCCATCTCTGAATAGGCAGGTGCCAAAACTAACTTTGTGGCTTCTTTATCTGGCTTCTGTGTTAAAACTAAGGACAGAAGCAACAAATTTGGATAGATTAAGGATTCTATTGGTAAAAAATGCGTATTCATATTCATGGTGATGTTGGTAAGATTAAGGATTCTGATTTACCATTTGTGAGTCAAAAAGGATAATAATGTATGAGTGTCAAAGCTAGATGATCTCTGAGGTCTCTTCCAATCCAAGCCATTCTATGATTCTAGGATATTCGAAAATCTTTTGTGGCTTATGATTCGTGGCATATGTCTCTGACACTTTCAGATTAATTTTTTGATTCAGGGAATGTGTTTAGATGACCCATATGTCTCTTTGAATCTTATTTTCGTTAGACAAGTATGTGTATGTACAGTTATGCTATGTTTTATTACGCGAAAATAAATGTTTTGGTAACACTAAGGTTCCTGCTGTGAAATGTAAATTGTTGCCTATGCAGGAATGACCCTGCAAGTTATTGTATTTTATTGTATCTATTTTTCAAAGAGTATCCAATTGGTAGACAGAAGTCTCTTTCTTTTTTTTTTTTTTTTTTTCTTTTTTTTTTTTCTTTGTATTTGTTTGTACATAGTTCTTATTGACCGTGTGAAAACCTGGAATTTCTAAATTGACTTTCAGGGGGAAAAAATCATTGCACACAACAGATTATTCATGGTATTATTTACTCTAAAATGTTAACAATTCCGAAATATCAGAGGATATAACTGCAGCAAAACAACCCAGCCTTAGCATAATATTTAGTTGTTTCCCTCCTTTGTTACTAGGTAGCTGGAGCTTTTAGGGAGAAATTTGTCATTAATAGCACAGCTCCATCCTACACAAGAGTCTCTAGTTCTTTGCAAACATGAACTTTTAAAAGGTATTTTTAAAAGATTAGCATTTGAGCTTTGTCGCCTGTGGTTTTAGCTTAATCTCACAAGGACAAATTAAATTTTTTTTCAGCATCAAAGCATCGTAAGACTTTGATGTGTTTGTGTGAAGGAGAAGTCACGTTGTTGAGATACTGAAGCTTTAACTCCAGACTTAGTTGTGATGTTTGGACTTAACTCTGTATTTAAATGATCATTAAGACACATCTCCCCACTATTGAAGGTGGTTGCCAAAGGCGTGCTGTTTCCCTTTTGCAGTGATCCCTGTCTGTGAACTGATTTTGAAGAGCTGTTGAGCACTCTGTGCTCCTTCCCTCCTGAGCTGGAGAAGCAATCCAGTTGGAGGCATGTCTGGATAGAGTGTTTTAGAGAGGAGTTTGTTTGTTTTTCTTCCACCTGCAGGCATAGGTCTGGTCTCTTGTTTTAACTTGATCTATAATCCTTGATATCCACAGGAATTTCATGTCAGCATTGAAGCTCTGGGCATACAAATTAACGCAAGTGGAAAATCTTGCTGAGTACTGACAGGAGAACCAGTTTCTCCTTTTCATATCTGGCAGTGCTGGGTGAGCAATAAAGTCTTTTGTAATTGTTGGTTGTAATTGTCAACTATTCTGTTGTTGTATTTCAAAGAGCTTGTTTCGAAACTGTCACTTTTTATATGGTGCTTCATAATGCCATCGTTAAAGAGCGCTGAGTTGAAAAAATCCACTGTGAAGATACTCAGCCAAGCAAAACCAGTATGTGTATGTACAGGAGGGTAATTGTCTGTGGGCAACAGTTGTGGAGCAAGGGCCATTGTTTCCCCTACCAAATGCTCACTACTTGTTGCAATCATTTTTTTTTAATGATTAGGAACAGTGTTTCCCAATCAGTGAGTTCTCAATTTATATGCTTTCCAATTCTGTGTGTTTAAGTTTGACTAAGATAAGTGCCAGTGTGTTGATCCAAATGCGTAGGGAGAGAGATTGTGGATTGACTGATGGGAGCAAAGAAGAGTGTATTTTTAGGTTTTTACATATATAATAGTTCAAATACGCTACCTGATTTTGGCTTTTTTACAAGCTCTGCAAAATAGGGATCATAGCATTTTAAAAGATGATTCATCTCCAATGCCTACTTCATCATCACTGACTTGTTCTTCAAAGCAATAATCAAAAACTAGATTTTAAATCTTTACAGACTTAAGGAGTTTTATTTGAAATGTTTGAACTAAGGCACAGAAGGTTTTGTTTTCTGTGTAAGATGGTCACCAACAGCTCCAACAAGGATCAGTTGAAAATGTGAAGAGGAAACACACCTATAAAGTAAGTTGTACTTGTCTAGCTGGGCATGGAGAAAAAGAGATATTAGCAGAGAAATCTTTAGAAAGTAGAGGTTGTAGGTTTTCTGTGACTACTTCGTGCTTTTATCAGTTTGGTTGAAAGAGAGCAGCCACCAACTAATCTCATCTCAGGAATATCCTGAGCTGTGGAAACCATGTGGACCAGTGCAGAATCTGTCCATAGGAAGGGACAGACTGGTAAGGCCAGGCTCACCTATGTATTCTTCTGACTGTTACTCCTGTGTCTTAGCTGGTTTGTTAGATATACAGGTCATGTCCTACTCAAGAAAGTTTTCCAGGCTGCATTCCTGTTGCCTCACCTGGACAAGAGCTTGGGCACTTGGCTTAGAGGTCTATCTGTGAGGTATCTGTCATCAGTGAAGTATAAGAACATGCCTCCTGAACCTCTTCAGACCACCCAAGTTAGGTAGCTACTTAGAGACAGTGCCTCTCTTTGTTTTGCCCATGATGCAAGCGAAGGGGAAATGAGATCTGACTCTGCAGGGGAACAAAGCAACTCAAGAGTTATTAAAATCAGTAGTTTTTACTAAGTGTCACAACAGGCATAATTAAAAGGAGCTAAGATGTGGGTGGGGAGGGAAAGCACTAATGGTTTCAATGCAATCTGTCTTGGCCTCAATCTGGCAAACATTCAGGCATATGACTAAATTTATGCTCTTTGTTCTCTCTGTAAGTTGTAGTTTCTCGTCTCAGATGTGTTCCTCTAATATAGAAGCATGATGAAAACAGAAGTAACCGGAATGGAAGTATAAGCAGGAATGGCAAAGTGCCAGCAATCCCTAGAACACAAATCTGCAGGCAGCTAAATGAGGTTTGTTTCGTTACACTCTTTGCATTGTGTAATATGGTTTATGTAATTTGAGAAGGATGTTGCTCCTTATCAAGTTAATTACTCCTAATTACCACTTTCCAAAATGTGACCAAAGCTTTGTAGCTGGCTGGCTTTGAATAGGAAAAACAGCAACAGTGCTCTGTAGCATTTTGAGGGGTTCTTGGGTAGCGGGTTTACATGTGGACTGCATCTGCTTGATGCTTCCCTTAGCTTTGCCTCCGAACAGGAATAATACGAGTCCCTCAAAATGAGCATGGAGCCTCATGGGTTTCAGGCAAGATTGTCTGATGATAACACATGTGGTTTTCACGCTCCCTGCCCCTATTTCCATTGAGGTTGAAACTATAGGATCTAAAATAGTGCTTTCAATCCCATCTCAAACTATCTTAAAATTTGATGGAATTGGCTCAGAGTGTTACAGCCTGTGTCTGTGTGTTTATAAGCAAGTAAACAGACGTAATAGAAACCTGGGTACCTGCAGCGTAGGCAGGCATAGAATAAGGCATGAAATGTTCGCCATGCAAGTGTGTAGTATGCCATGGGTCAGTGATAGTAGAAAGTTGACTGTTCTGAGTCTGTTTGTGTCCTGGGTCTTTCAGCATGCTGTGTTTGTCGTTCTGTTCCCACAGATTACTGGTTTGCAGTGACATATGTAAGAAATGAGTTAAAGTAAACAAGTAGTTTCCACACCTGCCTTTTCAGAAAGGAAGACAGAAATATAGTGTAAATATTAGTATTGAAAGAACTGCAAGCATCCCAGATAGCGTTTGTCAATATTGCACCCCTACCTGTGTTGTTGACTTGTGGGTTGAACTCAAATCTGAACTGACTTTTAGGGTTTGTTTAGAAAGTCTGGATAAAAGGAAAACGGAGCCTGTAATAACATGCCATGATCTTACTGACATCTTACAGACTCCACACCTAGTTCTTGATTCGCAAGAGCTTTGCAAGAGCAGTAACGTGTACATGTGGTGTGAAGAGAAGAGAAAGCAATGCCACTTCCCAAAAGCAGTGTGTGCCTTCAGCCTGTTGCTGTTGTACAGCAGGTCTTTGAACTAGCTGCAAAGCTGTGGGTGTAGTGGGAAAGTTTATTTCTGCTTCCTGTACTGTATTGAGGAGATTAACTAATCCTATCACATTTCTTCTGAGTTGTATTTTCTAAGACATTCCAGATTTTCAAAATAAATTTATATTACTACTATTGTAGTTAATAACGTGAGGCCTTTGTGACACCAATTCAGCCCTTTGGCAGATTATTAGAGGAGCACAGACTGCCTGCATCGCTACATCAAGCAATGCGATCCTGAAGTGTGGGAGTGTGGCTCATAGCTGATGCACAGTAGGATGAACAGTGTATCTGCTCCCAGTTTCAACTTCACTCATGCAAAAGTCTTGGATCACTTTCCACTGAATGCCAAAGATGGGAATGGCTCTCAGAAAGGTGTGAGGCCAGGCCTTCTCTTTATGCCAGGGCAGGATCAGCTTTACCCAAACTGTTCCTTGTAGTTGTTTAACCTTTCATAAAAGACTTGAAGTAGTGGACAGTCTTCAATCTTTGAATGCATCTACTGCTTCTCTAACTTCATGCTAGGGAATATCTGCCTGAAGGCATAATCAAAATTCAAATGCTGCAATTTGCACTCATTTTTTTCTTGTTTCAGCAGCCACAGGGTATTTCCTTCACTGTTATCCTTTTATTCTAGATTTGAATATGCTTTTAGATCGCTTCTTGCCTAGACAAAACCTTGCTGTTGTGATTTTACCTTTTTTTTAAAAAAAAAAAGTTATTCCAGAAGTTTAATGCTTAAAATTAGTTGCAATACTTGAAACAGATGCTGCATTCCATTGCAGTCAATGGAATGGCTGCTTATCCTACCACACAGAAACTAAGTGTACAATTCGAAGTTGGTTTGCTTTTATGGAGGAAGGTTAAAAGTTGCCACCCTTTGGCTGAGTTGTATGAAGTGCTGCTGTGTCTACTCCCAGTTATGCTGCAATTGCAAGAGAAAAGCAGGTTTGCAGGAATGATCGTCTGCTGTGCATTAGTCTCACTGTGTATACAGTCAGACTGTCAGGGATGGAGAAGGCAAGAGCCAGGGCAAACTGAGGAGCATAAGCAGCAAGGACTCCTTGTGACCTGTGTTACCATATATGAACCTTACCCAGCTGGCTGCTGGGACTACAGCTGATGGTCCCTGAGTACTAGTCCTAAAAGCACAGCTCTTGGTTTTACTTAAATGTGATTCAGTAAGTAAGATTCTCAGTGAGTTGTGCAGTTTGGGATGCCCCATAGCTCATGTGGTCCTTCCCACCATCCTCAGGGCAGCCGCTTTTGGGGTGCCACTTGCAGCAGCTGCTCATCTATTGTGAGAAAAAATCAGAGTGTTTTAATCATCTTCAAAATATTAGTTATTGGCTTTAGGAAGGATGCTTTATGTGTTCTTCGTTCCCAAACACATTCTCCATTCCCCAGTTTCGTGCGTGCGTTTGCCTGTGACTTGTTCTTGATTCCTGAAGCACAGTGCTCTGGTCTCAGCTGAGAAGTGGAGATAACTTCACATTATCCCTCTCAAGGCTGTTCCGTTGGGCTGCACTGCTGTATCCCTGGCTGGGGCCAGGTACAACTAACCTTCCTGTGGTGAGGTTGGTGTGCAGTGCAGGGCCCGTGTCCTGTGTCAGTGGTAGGTGTGAGGAGAAGCCGCTATGCGACCGGCTCTTAGAATGGCCCGTCATCTGTGCGGTGACGGGCGGCTGTGTAGAAGTGACCGTGCATGGGGCAGAACCGACCGAGCGTTGTGCGGCTGGATACGCGATGCCGCAGCGTAGTCACTGTGTATTTGTATATCTGTAGCCACTGGATATTTGATGTATTTACACTCCATTCAGAAAATGTGTTTTTCCGCCGGGCCATAAATCACGGTTAGAGGACGAGCAGCAGCGCTGCGCAGGGAACGCCGAGATAGGGAAAACGCGCGAGGTCGGCCGCGCTCAAGGTCGCGCGCGTCGCTCCCGACCGCTCCGGGACACGTGACGCCGGGCACAGAGCGGAGCGCTGCCCCGATGGCTCCGGATGAGGCAGGGCGTGCCCGCGGGCTGGGGGCGAACCCGCGGGGCGGGGACAGGCGCCGGGAGCCGCCTGCCCGGGGCCCGCAGGTGCCGGGGTCGCGCGAGCTGGGGGCGCCGCGTTCCCGCCGAAGGGCGGCGGCCGCCCCTCTGCAGCGCGCCGCGGCCGCCACCACGCCTGCGCCGTCCCCGCGAGGGAGGGGGGAGAGGGCGGACGGGCGCCGCATCCCCGGCGCGCGGAGCTGCTGGCGGCGTAAGCGGAGGCTCCGCCGCGCCCCGCTGGAGCTGAGCCGGGAGACAAAGGGGAGAGAGACACCGCCGCCATGGGGGAGCAGCTCCGCGCGCAGCCCGCGGCCGCAACGGGGGCACCGTCCGCCGCCTCCTGCTCGCTGCGCGGCGGGCTGCTGCACAACGGCTTCCACCCTGCGGGCCCGACGCTCAGTAACGGTGGCTGTGGGGAGACGCCGCACCCGCTACTGCTCCGCCCGGAGCCGCCGCCGCCGCTCGGACGTGGCTCCCCGGCCAAGAAATGCAGGTTGCGCCGCAGGGTGGACTCGGGACGGCGGCACAGGCCACGTAAGTGATGGGCGCGGCAGCGCGGCTCGGCGCCCACCCACCCCCCCGGCACCGCAGCCCTCCCCGCGCTGCCCCAGCCCCTCTCCCGCCCCAATCGCGGACCCCCCCTCCCGTTCCGGCCGGGCGGAGCGAAGGCCCTCGGTGCCGGCCAATGCGGCGGCGGAGGCAGGGCACGGCCCCGCCCTGCGCCAATGGGGCGGCAGCGGGCAGGGAGCGGCGGCCCGGCACGAATGCGGGCTGACGGCACCCCCGCAGCCAGGCAGCAGCCAGGCAGCAGGGTCCCGCCGGCCGAGCAGCCTCCCGGACGCGCCCATGAAGCTCATAGCGCACAAGCAGCGCTGTAAGTAGCGGCCGCGCTGAGCCGCGGGCGGAGGGGAGAGTGGTGCAGGGAGCTCTGCACTACTTCGTTGGGCTGGAGAAACGCACAACCAGAAACTGATTTGGTGATGTGCTGCTTATGAGCGTTGCCTCTGGTTTTTCGTTGGTCTGGGAGGTGTCAGTGGATTCGCCTCGTGATTTAAGGCTGTGACATCTATGTTTCTGATGTGCTTTGTTGTGTTAGGCTCGGCGATTAGGAAGCAATGTGCTTCATTTGCTTGGTCGTGGTTAACATGTATACAGGTATGGAGCTGCTGTGCAGTGCCTGGGCAGGCACCAGCAGCAGAGCAGCACAGCTAAGGAGCACCCTGCTGTGGGCACACTACTTTGCTGTTCCTTCAAGTAGAACCAATGCATGTTTCCTTCCTTTTCCGAGATCAGCATGTTCTGAAAGGGTAATGAGGGATAGAGGCATGCTTGCAGCTGCCTGCTGCCAAACCTGGGGACATCTCTGTTCAGTATGAAGTGCTATGTGTTCCACTGCTCAGAGTGGTTTTTTTGTTTTTTTTTTTTTTTTTTTTTTTTTTTTTTTTTTTTTTTTTGTGGTTTTTGTTTGCTTGTTTTTTCTTTAATATTGAAACAAATGTATGCAGGCATCTCTTTGAGAAGAATAAAAAGTCAGAAATAGCTTTGGAGGGATGCAGCTTTCCCAAGGCCACTTCATCCGTGCCTTCTGCTTGTCAGATTAGTTTTTGCTAAGTTCTGCATGCCCCTTGCCTCAACACATTCTTTTGTTGCAGAATTGCATAGTTCTTGCACTACCTGGGGAAAATTATGGGCTCCTACGAAATGTAACGTGTTGGTAACCACATCATTCTCTAGTGTGAACCGTTCTTATGGAGTTCTTGTGTAGCTTCAAATTTTCATTCAAGAAGAAAAGCTGCAGCTCTTGGATTAAGCTGCATGTTTATTTGATGCAAGTAAGAGGATATAAACTTGCATTTCAAACTTAGAGTAGTTTTTAGCGTTGCAAAGACTTGTATGTTTTTGTGTAGTTACTCAAGCCAGATAGAACAAGGAATTTGGTTTCTTTCGTATATTGAGGGGAAAAGAAAAAAACTAATCAGGGTGCAGAGCCAGGTGACAGTGGCTGTATTGCCTGAAATGTGCAACAGCTGAACCCTCGGCTGTGGGCGTTCTGGAGAAGGTGGGGATGGGAGCAGCAGGTGAGAGCAGAACTCTTAAAAGCTGTTGTGTGGAGTATTTCTTTGCTAAATAAGAGTCATGAGTTCTTGTTGATTTTGTGGTTTTTCATTTATGTGCAGGAGTAAATTTGCTATTCATTTTCTTGCAGGAAAGCGTGACAAGGCATTGTTTAGATTGAAAAAGTTAATTAAATCTGACTCCAGTTCTAGTGTTGTGAAGTTGTAGGTGTATCCGTCTCTAGAACACACTATATATTCCCGTTTTTCTGGTTTTTGTATTTAATTGCACCCTCTGCTGATGTTTGTTCTGTGCTCGGGGACACATTGCAAAATGCAGTGCGGTTGCCACATGATGTGTAAGCCCTGAGTATTGATTGCGGGGTTTGCTTTGCATGGGGAGGAAGATAATTAGTATTTCCCAATATTCCAACACATGAAGTTATCTTTCTGTAGCAACAATTCCTTTAAATCCTTACAGAATAAATACTGAGTGCTTTTACTTTCTGCTAAAGTGAGACAGTCTTCTACATTCTCAGGCCTTTTTCCTCTCAGAGAAGGGAATGTTCTTTTTGGAGCTTGTGCTCTTGTCTGCTCAGCCTGTGCTCAGGGGGAGCCTGGGGTCTGCTTCATTGTCCTTCTGACCTATGACAGGCATAGGAAAGAAGCAGCTGTATGCCTTAATTGGATTGCTTTTCTTAGATGAGAGTGAAACTTTGGGGTTGCTCTCCAGACCAATATCTGGCATCTCGCCCCAAGTCAGTAGGCAATAGGTAGAGGTCACAGAATGCGTGCTCAGGGGTGTCATGACTTCACAGCTAATGCATGTTGTAGCTTCTGTGGTTGATTTATGAACACTTAGTTGTTGCTTCTCAGCAAATAATGTTTTTGGCCAATATTGATATTGTTACATCTGTGATGCTTGGGTGCAGCATAACTGTGCAGTGTTACTTA